AACCACTGAAATGCTGCCCTCTTAATAGCTGCCTGTTCTTAATAACTGGGCTTATCTCTGGCATGGTACTTTATCAAGCACTTTTTTGTAGTCCAGGAAGATGCAGTCTACCCTCTTTTGTCTTTCTTGTATTTTTTGTGACTCTTATAGAGCTTCAGCAGGTACACAAGACAGGATTTTCTATCCGTAAACCCATGTTGTTTTCTCTAAAGACTTTTCTCCAAATATTCCAGTACCCTTTTTATTGCAATTTTCTTTAAATTTTTTGATAACGTGGACTGAATTTTTTTTATAGATCAGTGCATATTTTTTTGCCCTCCTGTTTTATATATGGGGCCACATCGGCCTTTTCCTAGTTTTCTGCCAGCTGCTCTGGAGCGACTGGTTGAGACATTTGTTATTTGGTAGCAGAGTGATTCTGCTTACAACACCCGTGGGGGTTTGTTGTCTGCTTCCATCACTTCTTATATTGTGTGTATGCTTTCTGGCTCCTGTTGGTTTTCCCTGACTTTAGTGCTTTCAGGTAACTCTCAGCATTCTTCTGTGAAAACCTCCTTGAATATTGTGATGAACTTCTCGCATATTTCTCCGTCATACTCAGTTAGCTTCCATCACATTTCTTTTCCAGCTTTCTCATCTACTTCTTCGCAGTTGTCTTATGTGACTGGACTAACTTTAGTTTTGCATAATTTGGATATTTTCAATCTGTCTTTAAACCTCCCTTCTTATTCTTGCGTATTCCTTTCTATCTTTAGTTCCTTTTTCCGTTTTATACACTGCATTTCTTCCAAGCCTTCTTGCACTTGTTCTTGGTTTCTCTGCATCTGCCACTTCTCCGACACCTGCATCAGTCTATTCAAATCTTGCTAGAGTGCTAAAATTTTGGTGTCAGCAGCAAACTTGCTTATGTCGCTATTTATTCCCTCATCTATGTCGTTTATGTAAATTGTGATCAACGTTCCTCAATAAAACATTTGAGACAGTAGACAGTGATAAAGAATATGATGTTTGTTTGGATTTCAGTAAAGCCTTCGATAGCTCTCTTTCTGCCTTCCATAATTATTTTCTCCATACTTAGTGAAAGCTTTTCTTTGTCTCTTGGCAATTTAACTCTGTTAGTTCCATCTTCTCTTGTAAGACTTTGCCTTCCTTGTGTGCGTGTGTGTGTGTGTGTGTGTGTGCTCAAACGTCGACACAATAAGAGTATGAGGAACGCGTCTGTGAACACTTCAAAGGAGAAGTCAGAATTGAAATCCAAGATCTCTCTCTCTTCCCTCTCAATCCTATCTCCCCGGGGATGCTTCAAGTCTGGAGAGACGGGAGGAGAAGAGAAGAGAAGAACGGGTGAAGGAAGGAGAAAGAGAGAGAGAGAGAGAGAGAGAGAGATGAGAGAGAGAGAGAGAGAGAGAGAGAGAGAGAGAGAGAGAGAGAGAATTTGCAGACATATACCCTTCACTCTGCATATAGTCTGAGAGATATACATCTCTTCCGTGTATTCACTGACAGATGTCTCTCAGTGTACATACACTGAGAGATACACATCCCTTGCTCAATATACATATAGAGATACACACTCCTCTGTGTATATACCATAAGAATTATAAACCTCTGCATATATACCATAATTTGTAACTCTATTTGCACTTATCATGAAAGGTATATACCTCAGTTTATATAATTTGGGAGATACACCCCTGGGTGTATGTATCTTGTGAGACACATACACACCTCTCGGCACACACAAGCTTGGGGGTGACTTATGTATCTATATTTTAATAAAAAAACCGGACACTGATACAGACAGTTACAAGGTATTATCCTGGCGTCAGATTTCCAGTCAAGAGATCCTTAGTTATTTTTTTATCTTCTTTTACATTGTTTTTCATATTATTTAGTATTATTTACTAGTTATAATAATGGTTATAATCATAAACATGATTTTTAAAGAGGTGGACCAGTAAGCCAGTGGAAGGCCTCGGTCAGATGACCAGAAGCTCAATCCTGTGGGTCATCATATGACTAAGATCCGCCTCAGGAAACACTTGTCCTGTTTCCTGACAAGTCATACCTAACCCAATATGCCACACATGAATACGTAAGGATGTTGAGAAGGATGATGGTGGATGATAGTGAGGTTAGGATAGTGAGGAGAGTAGAGATAGTGTGTAGATAGGGAGAGAGAGAGAGAGAGAGAGAGAGAGAGAGAGAGAGAGAGAGAGAGAGAGAGAGTGTGTGTGTGTGTCTCCGGTAGTGTGTGCGGGTAGCGACCCATGTGTGACTGACGATGCTGACACATGTGCCTGGTGATGCTGACACATGTGCCTGGTGATGCTGACACGTGTCTGACGATGCTGACACATGTGCCTGGTGATGCTGACACGTGTCTGACGATGCTGACACATGTGCCTGGTGATGCTGACACGTGTCTGACGATGCTGACACATGTGCCTGATGATGTTCATGCGTGTCTGACGACGGCGACACAAGTCTGATAAGCTGGAACAGGTGCCTGACGATGCTGACAGACTGACTATGCTGACACAGGTGTCTGGCGATGCTGACACGTCTGACAATGTTAACGCAGATGTCCAAGGATTCTGACACGTGTCTGATGATACTGACGCGTGCCTGATGATGTTGACACGTGTCTGATGATGCTGACATGTGTCTGATGATGCTGACATGTGTCTGATGATGATGACATGTGTCTGATGATGCTGACGCGTGTCTGATGATGCTGACACGTGTCTGATGATGATGACATGTGTCTGATGATACTGACACGTGTCTGATGATGCTAACACGTGTCTGATGCTGATGACATGTGTCTGATGATGCTGACACATGTCTGATGATGCTGACACGTGTCTGATGATGATGGCATGTGTCTGATGATACTGACACGTGTTTGATGATGCTAACACGTGTCTGATGCTGATGACATGTGTCTGATGATGCTGACACGTGTCTGATGATGCTGACACGTGTCTGATGATGCTGACACGTGTCTGATGATGATGACATGTGTCTGATGATACTGACACGTGTTTGATGATGCTAACACGTGTTTGATGATGATGACACATGTTATGATACTGACACATGTCTTGCTGGCTATGCTGACACGTGTCTGACACTTTGTCTGACAAGCTGACAGATCAAGCGTCGTCTCCTGTAAAAATAATTTAAAACATTTCTGTATTCATATATTTAATTAATTTTGTTCTTTTTTTCCGTCTTAATTCTTCAAGTTTTTTTTTCAGGTTTAATATTTAATTTACATATTTGAAAATAAAGTAAAAACCATGATTTGGTAGTTTTTTTTTTTTTTACAAAGAGCGAAATGTTCAAACAAAAACAGCTTTTTATATATAAGAAATGCTTGAAACTTCAAGCATATCTTATATATATATATATATATATATATATTATATATATATATATATATATATATTATATATATATATATATATATAATTATATTATATATATATATAGGGAGGTACCACCTCTAGAACTTTACTGGGGAGCCTCATTCTCAGAGAAGACAATAAACTTACCTCAGGGTTCTCAAGGTTCTCCCCGGAGCTGTTTGAATATTTTCTTCTTCTACCACCCCCTATATTTTATATTCTATGGGAAAATTTATTAATAGGCAGAATACATTTACAGGAAATACAAACATGAATACAATATTACAATATGTTAAACATTATGGATTTCCTCCAGTTCCTCCGAAGCCGGACGTGAGCCAAGTATGCAGCAAGCATTTCCCCTCTGGATGGCCAGGTTGAGGCGCTGGAACATCAAAGTGGCTGCCCTTGGGTCTCTGGTGGTGTCGATGAGTCTGGAACCCAATTCTTTAAGGAAACGTGTGGCATTTTTTCCTCATGATCCCACGGTCTCTGATCCCACTGGGACAAATTGATACTGTTGGCTAATGTCCCTGTACTTGCTGATCTTGTACTCCTCCCTGTCGCCCCACACTGTGATGGATATAGGTGTCAGCCAGTGTGGACACACAGGTATTGTCCCATGCTAAGAGCTTGCCATTCTTCCAAGGATAGATGGTGATCCCGTCGGGGCAGTTTGCTGGGTTGTGGGTATTGTTGGCTGCTGTTGATCGGGGCTCCCTCTCGGCTGGGCATCCAGCTGTAGCAAGGGTTCTCTTTATGATGTCGTTGACCATATTGGTCGGCTTGCGCTTCGCCGCAAATACACGTATATTCCGTGTGAATTGGGGCAGCAAGGCGCAGAGCCACTGCAATACGGAGGGTCTTAGGGTCGAGGCGCGTTCCCATTGCCGATATGGGAACTATTTGGAGGAAGTCCCCAGAGTGAAGTGCGCTCACAGCCTGGAGATGGGCAGTCTCCCTGTCTGATGTTACAGCCCTGAGCATGTTGGCAAGCACCTTTCCAGCGATCGGGCCATCCCAGCTTGACTGTTTGTGAGCCAGTGCTGCACTAGCGTTTGGTGCTGGAGCAACAAGAGTCTCCCATTCAGCGATGGCACTGGCATAGCTAGGGTCCTGTATTCCTGCTGAGTCAATGAGGTTATCTTATTAACTCGTTTGATGCTATGGAAGAGGATGGGAAAGCTGGTAGAGCAATCTGGGAGGATCTGCGTACCCCAAGCCTCCCAAGCCTGACCGGAAGTGAGGCTTGCAACCACTGTCCATCTTCCAGGGAAAGATTCAATACACTCTCTAGCATGGTTTTAAGGAGAGAGTCATATTCCTTGAGTTTCGGACTACTGAAGGCATCTCAGAAAGTAGGTAAGTTTTGGGACTGACAGGCACCTGCCTTCCATCGTCCGGAGGTCTGAGATTTTTTTTTCTAGGATCAAATCGATGGCATTGGGCCCAAGAGGAGCACCAAGGAGAGTGCTGTTGGCTGGATCAATGGCTCGTGCTCCTGGTAAAACAGCACTAATATTCTGGATCATCTGTCGATTGGTAGAAACTATTTCACATTTAGTGGGGTTTAAAGATAGGCCCAGACTTTCTCCTATGTCTTTGATTTTTCTGATGTCCTCTAGGAGAGATTCTGTTGTACCAGCTAGGGTACCATCATCCAAGAACCAGATATTGAGCTCACTGGAGAGTGCTTCTGTGACTTCCTTGATGACCAAACAGAATATAAAGGGGGCACACTCTCACATGAGTCAATTTCATGATCCCCAAACAATAGTTTGGAAGTCACACTATAACACGATTCTATGAAGGGATAGAGGGAAGGGAAGTTTTTAGAAACTGCTTGAAGAGCAGCATCCCTTCTGACTGAGTTGAAAGCGTTGCAAAGTCCAATTTGACCAAGGTTTTTTCATGGGGCATGTTGTTGATATATACTCGTGCTGCGTGGGCAGCTGCTTCACAGCCCTGTAGAACACCAAAAACGAGCTGAGTTGGTTTCAACATTGCAGCAGCCTCTTGACTCACCCTTCTTACTGCAGCCTTGGCGACTAGGTGCCGAAGGGTGTTGCCCACTGCAATGGGCCTGATTCCTCCATCCTTTTTCCGGAGGGCACACAATGAGGCACCAAAGAAAAGGGGTCTAATGGCCTCTGGGACAATGCCAGCCAGGCACAGGTTGGAAAATTTGTTGAGTTCAGACAGCAGCCTCTCTGAAACATCACCAAGTGCTGGATTGAGTATTTGTTTTAAGTGTTGAGGCCTTAAACCGGTGAAACCTCCTGCTGAGCCCTGTGGAAATGACATAGCAGCTTTATACACGTCAGCATCCTGTAAGGTTAGATGTTCTTCACCTGCTGCAGTGTCAGGGAGGTCGATGTTGGTACTGGGAGCCCTGGGTGGATGTTTGTCCTTCAGAGCTTGCGCCGTACTGATATCCTTAGGAGCGATGGTATCCTCACTGGTTATAAGCCTCAGAGCTCCAATAGTATTACCCTCTTCTATTTTTTTGCTAATTTGGGCTCTGATTTTTGAGGCGTCTGGTGTCCTGTTGTTGGCATTTGCCCGGTGGGTGTTTGTCGCCCTAGTTGGACCATAATTTTTTAAGGGTTGGACAGGTAAGCCAGTGGAAGGCTTCGGTCCGATGACCAAAAGCTCCAAATGCGGGTCTTCATATGTCTAAGACCCGCATCAGGAAACACATGTCCTGTGTCCTGACGAACTTTACCTACCCTAACCATTTCTCTCTTTAATATTTTAGTTTTACCTAATTCTTAATGGCTTCCATTTTTCTTTTCCAGTTGTTCACTCATTTCGGCTCTTAGCCCTGTAATTAGGAGTTTTAATTGCTGCCAACCACTCCACTCTCTCCCCCTTGTTCTCACCCCTCAACCCTGCTGCCGGTCCTGCTCTGTGTGTGTATGTGTGTGTGTGTGTGTGTGTGTGTGTGTGTGTGTGTGTGTGTGTGTGTGTGTGTTTGTGTGTTTGTGTGTGTTTGTGTGTTTGTGTGTTTGTGTGTGTGTTTGTGTGTGTGTGTGTGTGTGTGTGTGTGTGTGTGTGTGTGGTGTGTGTGTGTGTGTGTGTGTGTGTGTGTGTGTGTGTGTGTGTGTGTGTGTGTGTGGGTATGAGTGTGTTTATGTGGGTATGAGTGTACGTAAATGAAAGGGAAGATTGTGATAGTGAGAATGATGAAGATGACAGTGTTGGTGAAGATGAGAGAAAGATGGCTGGTCAGACGTACGTACCTCCAAGGTCATCAAAGATGAGGCGTTCATCTACCCACTCCTCTCTGAAGGTCAGCTGGACGCTGTACTCCTGCGGCGGGAAGAACTACGTCACCAGAGGTCAACACAGGTCATCACAAGTCAACACAAGTCAGTAGAGGTCAACACAGGTCATCTCAGGTCAACACAGGTCAGTATGGGATGACACAGGTTATCACATCAAAAAATACACAAATAGAAATGTGTCAACAGAGGCAAAAGGTAGTTGAAGTCAGAAGTCACCAAATCTCAATAAAGGTTAGGGGATTTACACGTCACTACGTTGTTTAGATCAAGTCAGTGTTATAGATTAAGTCAGTTATGTATGATATTATGCAGTTCAACTGGGTTGATATGTCAAGATTAAGTCAGTTGGTAGATTTGTAGGTTAGGTCAAATTTAACTATTACTGGACAAATTGATTTTAATATTATATCAATTCAAAAATATTTTTGAAACGCTAAGCTTTATATAAGACTAGTTTGAAAAATAAGTGATTTTTTTAATAGCAAATTTGAATACTAAAGATTAAAATGTTAAATATTAAATTGACTGTATATCTATATCTATATCTATCTATCTATCTATCTATCTATCTATCTATCTATCTATATATATATATATATATATATATATATATATATATATATATATATATATATATATATATATATATATATATATATATATATATATATATATATATGTATATATATTACTGTAAACAATTATGTTTTTTGAATTTGTAATAAAAACTGGAATAAATAACAGTGACCTTAAAATGAAAAAATGCATAATCAATTAGCTACAATAATCGCATTTTAGGTTTTATATAAAAAAAATCATTCCACTTAATCTATGCACAATTTAGGATAAACCCGAATTAAGCAGAAGACAACTAAAAATAATAAAAGAATAAAAATATATAATTCCTACAGGGATTTATGGTTAACAGTGAAGTGGGCGGAGCTTAGTGACGTTGCATGCGGTGATTAGCTAGCAGCAGGATAGGTGGGGCTTAGTGATGTTCTCTTGGGTGATTAGTCTAGCATTGGAGAAGTGGGCGGGGCTACATGACGTGGCATAAGATTATTAGTTCATCAGTTATGTAGTGGGCGGGGTTTCGTGACTTTTCAAGCGGTGATTTGGCTAAAAGGCTAACGAGAGGGTGGGACTTCTTGACTCTGAGTGTGGTGACTGGCAAACAGCTGATGAATGGGTGGGGGCTTCGCGAGTGCTGCATGCAGTGATTGGCTAGTAGCGGGGTAGTGGGCGGGGCTTCACAGAAACCTCGCCCACTAATTCCATTCGATCGACTTGTTACAGTGTTACAACCAGGGGCGGATCTACCATGAAACTAATGAAGTTTAACCTTCAGGGCCACTTATCCCAAAGGGGCCCAAGAAGCGATTTCAGTCCACATTGCTTAAAAATTTTGGGTCTACTGTATGAGTTTTTTTTTTAATAATAACATTAATAATATAGCGTAATACAAAATAAGTTAAAATAAAAATTAAAGGTTATTGAAGTATGATGTAGGCAAGTCGTTGCTAGTTGCTATGGTGACCCCATAACAGTTCAAACTTCAGGGCCACAATAATATAGGTCCGCCACTGGTGACAACTGACCAGTAACTGCAGTGACAACATTTCCAGACAAAGACAGACATTTAAACACACTCACAGAAACAATGTTGACATTTCAAAAGAGGAGGAAAAAAGACGAACAAGAACATTAATAATTGGAGTAAAGTTTTAAGAGAGAGAAGAGAAAGAAATGTGAAGGAAGTCGGATGCGTGCGCGCCCGCGCATCAGCTTGCAAAAAAAAAAAAAAATACGATAAAACCGGCTCTACGATCAGTATTTATTGGATATATGGGACAAAACGGCGGCGACCACAGTGATTTAAAACATAAATTGAACAATTAAATTGCTGCTGTACACCCATATTCGCATTTCCAGACTTGATACAACGTTCGTATATAGAGAAATTTAAATGGATGATTGCACAGACTTGCAAAACAAGAATGTATATATATAGAGAAAAATATTTCCGGCCAAAAAAAATGTTTTTTTGGGTTATAAAAGCATGAAAAAGTTGCAAGAAATTTATCGAATCTTAATATTTGGTAATATTTCTTAGGTAATTATGTTTTGATGACTATTATCGTGTATGTAAAATTTATATTGCAATAAGATTAAACAGGTCATGTCACAATTTGCAGAACAACTATTGTGAAAAAATAGTGAACTTCCAAGTACTTTCATGATTTCTCACATTATCAAGGAACTGTTCCTTGATAATGTGAGAAATCAAGAAAGCGCTTGGAATTTCACTATTCTTTTCACTGTGGTTGTTCTGCATAAAATTTATATTATTTAAAGATTTCCTTAGCTTGTTAGGTTTGAAGCCTAGCGACTGCACCGTGGATCATGAAGGCTGCAGTTAACCTGGACAAGAACACTTTAATCTCGGTGTTTTTGTTAGTAAGGTCGTCTTGATCCAAGGAACTGGAGATACTCTGATTGCCCACCCCCCTCCCACTCCTATAACGCTGCATGACTTACGGGTTTAGTTCTTCCCATACTCAAAAGTAACATATTTTTCTTCTCTCTCGTCTTATTCAGTGATGTCAGTAAATACTGTCAGTAAAGCAGAATATTAAATAAACGTAAATTTGTTTATTACCAGTAACACAAGTTAGTCTGGGAACTGGATATTTTCTCTCCTAACCTGGGTTAAGTACTTCGACTTCCCAGTCTACCAGGAGGCGCTGTATGACCCGTACGGGTTTGGCATTCCACATGAATGTAATATTAATGCTGACAAGGGTACTCCACAGAGTAGTGTTCCATGGTTACTGAGGTGGGGATTTAATCCTCAGCAGAATGAAAAAGACGTTGTCTTCTGACAGGGAAACTTGTCCAGTGATGACACGTAATTTGTTATTAATGGCTGGTAGTGTTCCGTTCTTCAGGAAACACTAATGTCTCCTAAAACGGGTCTTAATAAGATGTTGGGCTCTTAACCAGTTAAATATCTGCAGGTCTATCCTAATTAGGTCCACTCTATTTACAGCAACTGACTAACATATTCCAGCTTGGCTCATCTCGTTTAAAATTATTTGCAGCCCTACCTGAACTGGGCTCACTCGCTTGAACTAGTACGGCCAGCAGTAACAGCCTAGTTGATCAGGCCCTGATCCATCGGGAGGCCTGGTCATGGACCGGGTCGCGGGGGCGTTGATCCCCGGAATAACCTCCAGGCCTACGAGAGCTAGGCTCGACCTGGTACAAAGAATCACTGCATAGCATCCTAAGATGATC